CAGGAGAAATGAGCTCCACGCTGAGGAGCCACAGGGGACACTAAAGGCCCATCCCACATGAAAGGCCAGTTGAAAGGTGGCCTCCTGTGGAATGTCAACTCCTCCACACTGAGAAAGGCCAACTCTGCAGACAGGACGAAGATCTCTGGTCCCCAGGGCTCAGGGAAGAGAGGGATGAGCAGGCGGAACACAGGGACTCGGGGCAGTGCAGCTGTCACCCTGTCACCAAGCAGCACACATCTGTCCAACCCCACTGGCGCACAACACCAACAGCAAGCCCATAACCCTTAGTTAATAGCAGCCCACTGAGGTGGACTCCTGGACCCAACAACCTTAACCTCAGCTGAGGGTGCCATGCCCACAGTGACCAGGCAGGGAGATGTAAACAACAGAAATCTAGGGGTGAGGGCCGGTATATGGGAACAGTCTCCTTGCTGTTTAATTTTTCTGTAAATCCAAATGCTTTAGAAAATAAAGACTACTGATGTAGAACAAGACCAGGCAGTGACACTGGGACACTCGTGCAGGCCCCGATTCCCGCCCCAGGAGCAAGCATCCCTACCCACTGAGCTCACTGGCCACTCCCTGGGCCTCCTGACTTGCCCTTGCCCTCTGGAAGTGCGGCTTCCTCCTTCCAGAGGACAGGCTTCCTGGAGCACCCACTGGCAGGGCAGGGGCAGCATGGGATCCAAGGTGTCCAGCTTGGGGTGGCCACAGTGAGCTGCTCCCTGCCTGGGACAGCTCGTGAGCGGGATCAGCTGGTGGCTCTTACCCCTCAGGTTGGGTTGGTTCACTCTGAGCCCTAAGTGGCCAGAACACATCTGCTACCTTGTTGTCTCTATCGCCTCATTGTCAACGAGCACCATTGACCTGGGGCCTTGTCCCAGATGTCAGAGCCCAGGCAGCACCCACTTCAAACCAACTTGATCAGGCACAGCTGCATGCAGAGGTCACCACCCCCCCACCCGCCACTTTCCAGTGTCCCTCTGCTGGCCCTTCTTGCAGTGACTCCCACCAAATGCCCCCAGTAGAGACGAGTTGGACATGATGGTGATTTCCCCGAGTCCTCTGGCTCATGACTTTTGCTCTCCATGTAATTGGCCTGGAACACTTTTAACAATTGCTGATTGCTAGAAACCTCAAAAGCACCTTGGTTATTTTCTGACTTGAGCATCAGAGCAGTCCCCAGTGCCACACCAGCACACCGGAGCCTCTGCGTCCTGCAGGGTGCAGCAGGTACCACCCTGGCACGACACCATCCGCACATTGTAGGGCTGTTTGCGCTGCACACAGAGGCCCAGGAAGGTGCTGCCCCAAGCCCGCAGGGCCCTCGCAACCTGGGGCCGAGAACGTTGTGGTGAAGGCCGGGTCTCGGGCCCGAGGCCGTTCCTCAGCAGGCTCTGGAAGCTCTCACCAAAGCTCTGCCAGGTGTGTGCAGGAAGAACAGACTGACAGGCCGGGCCTGGCCTCAACCCTGCGTGGCAACAGGCCTCCCAGCACACGTCCCACAGGCAGTGGCATGGGATCGGCCTGGCAGAGCTAATCTGCGACAGGTGGCCAGGGAGGGGCTCAGGACCCCGCTTCCTCTGGCTAATCCAGAGAGCTGCAATCCTTCTGGCCCACCCTGCTTGGTGACCTAGCACCACCTTCTCCATGGAGGAAGCCTGAAACAGAGAGGTCCTTGGCCAGGCCGAGCTGATCTGCCAGCGGCTTTGGTGGCACTTGGCAGGCTCCCCTGCAGCCCTGTGGACTTTGTGCAAGGTTGGAAGGTTGGGGTCCTCAGATTTCTTCATCCACGGCTCCTCGTGCAGCTGCTGAGGGCCTCACCCAGGAGCAGGAATTTTCTGGGCCAGGGTGTGTCTTGGCCCTGCATGTGCCCAAGACAGGCACAATCATGTATCCTATCCTTTGCTCCTAGCAAACACCTATGGGAGGCGTTCATGTCCCAGGCGAAGTGTGGGCCTGGGGTCCTCAGGCCTCCCTCCAAGGCACACAAGGCTTGCTGAGGGGCAGGCCTTGGCTGTCCACGTGTCCACTCAACTCCACTCCACACTTTACAGGCAACTGGGTCAAACGATCCTTCCGGGAAGGAGCTGGTCTTGCTCAGGCCCCTACTCTCCACCCCCCTCTCCCCCAGAGGTCTGCACTTCCTGGGCAGACCTTGAACTCGGGGTGTTCCAGTCCCCACACACCAAAAGGGCAGGGTCTCCCTGGGTCCTCTCTGAGGCCTGACTCGCTGTTGCAGCTGCCTCCTGGCCAGCCCACTGTGACCCAAGATGGGGTGAATCACCCCTCCGTGGGGCAGCTGCACCTCGATGCACACCTGCATTCCCCTGGGCAGGCCATGGACACCTCCTGCCAGGAGGCACACAGATGGGCCTGCCCTTCATCTCCAGGGCCCCCAGGTCAGCTGGTGGTGCTAGGAGACTGCACCGGTCCCTTCCCAGCCCAGGCTTCCAGCGGCTCCCGCAGCACTTGTCTGTCCACACTGGGTGGGGCTCCTGCCCCAGGACTGTCCTGCTCGTGGCCCTGCTGCCTCATTACCCATGACCAAGACGGCAAGCCCCAGCTGACTCTGTCCACACAGCTGCTTTAGTGCTGAGGGAAGAGGGAACATGCAGCCACCGATGGCTGTGGTCCCCCAAGCTACTACTCCTCTGTGGACCTGTGCAGCCCAGAAAGGTACTGATGGTCTCAGGGCAGCATGATCACAAATGGCCATTCCCGGTAGTGTGTTCTCACGCAGAAGGCAGGCGTCCAGTCAACCCTGAGGGCTGCCCGAAGCAGGCAGAACAGAGGTCAGCGTGGCACAGGAGACATGCTGCCTCGGTTCAGCCACCTTCCTCCTGGACTCAGCTGCCAGCAGGGGTGTGGCTCACCCTGTGGTTAGGCCAAGCCGGGCCCAGACAGGATCCCGACTGGGGTTCTGCCTCCAACGACACCGATGCTAGGCATCCCCCAGCCTGCAGCAAGGCCACTGAGGGCACCAGGTGAGCAGGGGGTGCACCAGGTAAGCACAAGGCCTTGGGACAGGCCTCGAGGGTCAGGGGTGCCCTGGGCTCATTTTTCTGTTTCATTTGACCCCATAAGGGCGAAATTCTGCCATCTTTAACATTTGGCCAACTGTGGGAGAAAACAGACCCTTGAAGCAGCCTGTGCCTTGGGGTACTGCCCTGGGAGCCTTGCTCTCCAATTCCCTCTGCGGGGGTACAGTAGCCTAAAAGGGGGGCTGCCCACCTCCTCTCCCATGGTGTGGCCCCAGCACAGGCCTGGCCAGCCCACCTGAAGCTCCTACCCGGCCTTGATCCTGCTGCCCCTTGGGCTGCACCCCTGCTGGCCCCTCCCATCCCTGCTCTCAGAGCAGCCCATGTCCCATAGGAACCCCGCAGTCCCCCAGTGGCCCTGGCTCCCACTCCTGCTCTGCCCTGGAGCTCTGCCCCGCACATCCCATGGGATTCTAGGAATGCTGGGGTACTACTGCCCTCTACCTTTCTCAGCCTGGGGAGAGAGATCCACGGGCACCAGGTGGACCTGCCCGAGCTCTGGACAGGGCAGTGTTTGGGGTGGGCCGTCCAGCATGGGGACTAGAGGTCAGCCTGTGCTGTGCGGTGATGACGTGCTCACAGATAGTGGAGGAGCGCTGCTCACTGCATAGCCCGCCCCAGGGAAGGGGCTGGGGGGCATCAGCTAGGACGTGACGCTCTTCAAAACCTGTGTCAACCCACGGCTGGAGCTGAGACTTGGCCCCTGAGTTAGGGAGAAACCTCGTCCCCTAGGGGAAGAGATGGAAGCAAGATGATGATTGTGCCCCTGAGGTCACTGCGGGCATCAGTGCTTTGGGAGAACCCAAAGCCGGATGCTGGGAGGACTAGGAAGAGCCATATGTGCCCCAAGGCCTTGGGAGGCCACCGCTGATCAGCTTCTCCTCCCTGCTGTTGGACTGGGATGCACCTGCCCCAGCTGCCTCGGAGGCAAGAGTGTCCTCGAATGCCCTGCAACTGCTTGCCAACAGCCAGCGCCAATCATCAGGAAGGCCTTAGACACTCCCAAGAAACTTGTAAAAATGGTGGAGATGGTCACCTTCTGTCAAACTCAAAGGCTGGTATCAAGTCTATGAAGCTCAGGAGGCCTAGGAGGGAGCCACCCCCCACCTCTCCTCCACCTCCTTCTCTGCTGCCCCCACTGCACTGCCCCTCCCTGCACCACCCGCCTCCCCTGCTCTCCAGTCCCCCACCCGGATTCCTCAGAGCAGCCGCCTCAGCCTGGCTGGCACTGGGGTTTAGCCGGGATACAGCTCTCAGCTGCTCTCTGGATGCAGGGAGCTGCGCTGCTCCAGCCCCTCCCCTGGACTAGCCATGTCCACACACTGGAAACCAGCACTGACGTACTGACATCCCCTGCCTGGCCCTCTGGTTGGGGACAGGAGGCTGAGACACACAGAAAGAAGAGTCATCAGACTCACGCCAGGCTGGGGGCAGGAGACACACCTGCTGACCCGTCCTTCATCCCCATGGGGGACGGTGTCAGCACACAGCAGCAGCTCAGTGAACACGTGGGGTGGACTTGCTCAGGTCGCACAGCAGGTTGTAGTACGTGGTGTCTGGAGCCTGCTAATTAGCACTGGAGGCGGGAGGCGAAGGCACAGGGCTGGAGAGATGGGGTCCAGTGAGCTGAGAAAGTAGTGCTTAGCCTGTGAGCAAAGTGGGCGTCCTGCTCAAGCTCTGCTGACCCAAGCATGTGGGCTGGGGCCCGGTGGTCACCCAGCAGCCCAACACCACTGTCCCGCTCCCTAAGGGGTGGCAGCTCCTGAGAAGGCTCCGAGGAGCTGGGAGGTTGCCTCTGCTCGCAGCAGAGGAGCAGCAGGAGCCTGGACCGAGGTGGGAGGGGGCTGTGCCCTCCCACCCCCTGGCTTGACCCCACTCAGGGCTCACTGTGCCCTCAGCTCCTTTTGGGGGACCAAGAATCCAAGTGGTACCTTGTCTTTGTCCTGACCCCTCCTCTCCTTCCTGGATCTGGCTGCCAGGGAGCCTTTTCCTACCTCCCTCATGTGATTTCTGGTTTTTCTTTCTTTCTTTATTATTATTATTTTTATATTTTTATTATTAGTTGTTCAAAACATTACAAAGCTCTTGACATATCATATTTCAAACATTTGATTCAAGCGTCCTGAGGTGGACATTTGCGTTCCAGAACCATCACTGCCTCGGGGGGCTTGGGTGCTGCCTCCTCCCCTCCGCTCACCTGGTCTCCCTCGGTGTGTGCTGGGTGGGCTCCACTGGCTTCCTGGAAAGGCACTGACCCATCAGGAATCCACCTCATGACCTCACCTGTCCCTACGCACCTGCCAGAGCCCTCCTCCAACATCATACTGGAGTCTGGGGACGCAGACCAGCCCCAAGCAGGGCCTATCTGTCAGGCATGGTCCTAAGTGTGCCCTTGTGTCAGTGAATCCCCAGATCACCCAGGAAGTGGGTGCTGGGGTCATCTGGTGGCACAGGGAAAGCAAGGGCACCAGGCCAGTTGCTCAGCTGGTATGACAGCCACCTGGCTCCTGTGTCCTGTGCAGTCACTGGACAGGCGAAGTGTCATCCTGCTGTCCTGACAGCTCCCTAGAGAGCTCCATGAAGGTCTAGAACCAACTGCAACTCACCATGACGGGCCCCACAGGAACCTCGGATGACAGCCTCCAGGGTGTCCAGGCCCCTCGAGCCGAGGGGACCAGCGCCGACTGAAGCAGCAGCAGCAGCTGAGGAAGGCGGAACAGGCTCTGCCCAGGGCCGACGGGAGGGAAGGGGCAGTCTGAGGGAGGTGGAGTGGCAGAGGGCAGCACCTGCCTAGAGGAGGGGCGCGGGGGCCATGGGGAGCAGGTTGGGCAGCAGGTCCAGAATCCCCATGGTGAGAAAGGCGAAGACTCCAAGACCGTCCGGTTTCAGAAAGGCTCACTTTCTGTGACAGTGCCCAGAGGCTGCTCTCTGGTCACCACGAAAGGCCCTGCAAGAAGCGTGAGCTGCCCACACTAAGAGGAGGAGAGAGCAAGGGTTTACCAGCGAAGTACCGGGCTTTGGTGGAATTCAGGAACTGTGGGCCAGGAACCTGGGTGCAGCTACCATCCCGTTTGCCTTGATCACCACAGTCCTGCTTGACCTATGTCCTGGGGGAGTGGGCTGGCCCTGTGGTCTGCCACCACGGCTGCATAGGCCTGCTGGGACCGCATCCAGTATGAAATTGTTCAGTAGGTCAGTCCCCATGCATCCAGGCAGTGCTGTGTGTGTACAGAAGAAGGACCTGGCCTCTCGTGGCCATTGAGGAAAGAGATTGACCCAAACTAAGTCCAGAGTATAGGATGGTGTGAGGGGCCGGGCAGCTGGCATGACAGATGGCAGAGGGCTCTCTGATGCATGGCCTTCAGAAGGTAGGGACCCAGGGGAGTGGGGGGATGGGCTTGAAGGAAGCTTGACCTGGATAGAGGCCCTGCCTGGACAAGTATGGCCTGGGCACACAAGCTGCAAGCGCCCCTGCCCAGCAGAGGTACTGCACCCGGGAGAGCTAGGCCCAGAAGAGGTGCTGCACGAGGAGGGGTGGTGTCCAGGCCCAGTGGAGGTGCTGCCCCTAGGGGGGGCCAGGCCCAGCAAAGGTGCTCTTCAGGGGCCCACACACAGCATGGAGAGCAGCAGCCACTGACCGAGCAACCAGGTGCCACCATGACAGGGACCCTGAGGAGACGCATCCCACCTGTGGGCTCTGGAGCAGGGGCACAGACAAGGGAGTCCAGAGGCCAGCAGCATCATCCGACATCCTGTCCTTAAGAATCTTCCGGATGCCATGAGACCTCCCCTTTCCACAGCCAGGGTTCCTGTGTCTGAAGGCTGGCAAGGAAGGTCAAGAGTTATGGGCCCACGTAACCATGCTCTCAAGGCCTGAGTGGCAGGTGGGGGGCTACTGGTACATACAGATGGTCACCTGGCTAAAGGCAGGAGCCTGGGCGGGCTCCGTGGGGAAGGGCGCGTTCCTGGGCCCTGGTCCATGGGTCTGTCATGGTTCTGTCCACACCCTTTGATGTCGTCCACTTGGTCCCTTTCTTCCCTTTTCCGCACTCTCCCCCCACCCTTGCTTGGCATCTTTGTGTCCCTTCCCGCAGTCTGCCTCTCGGGCAGCAGGGGCTTGGGAAAGAGCAGCAGGCTGGCCCTGGGAGAAGCCCACTACTCCTCATGCCCAGGCTGTCCAGAAGTCCTTCCCATTGAGCTATAGCCTGCCCTCCATGAGTCCCTACTTACTGGCTGCCTTCTATCACTTGGTGACATCCGAGTGACAACACTCCGTGAAGGGCTTAACACTGGGCATCCTGCTCCCAACTCCCCAGGCTTCTGGGCTCCAGGGAAAAGCAGTGCAGCTCCTTCAAATGCAGACCATGCAGCACCCCAGGAGTGTCCCTTACGCCCTGTGGCCACTGGTCCCCACAGCAGCAGGTCTCAGGCCAACAGCAGTCTTAGGACTTAGGACTTCTTCATGAAGAAGTCTTTGCATGGGGTCTGGAACTGGTTGCCAGGTCCTACCCTCATCTTCCTGTCCTGGGACATCATGACCCCTTCAGTCCCTCCCCACAGACTATCCTGCCAGCGCTCAAACGCACAGCTACTTCCCCTCTTAGAGACAAAAGGCTCCTGTTAGAGAAGGAACCCGTGGTCACTGAAGGGGTTCTGTCCCCTTTCACAGCAGAACCCTGAGGAAGCCACACACCGCCTCCCTCTGGTGTACTTCCTCCTGCTCTCTCACCGACCTCGGTGCTACCATTTTGTCAGGCCTCCGCCCCCTACATTAGTCAGTTTGTGCTGCTGTGACCAAAATGCCCAACAGGAACAACTCAAGAGGTGAAAACGTTTCCATGGTGGGCAGACTCCACGGCTCTGGGCCCAAGGAGAGCCAGAGCATCATGGCAGAAGGGGGTGGTGGAGGGAAGCTGCTCTGTGCCCGGCAGCCAGGGAGCAGAGAGGGGAGGGCAAGGGGCTGAGGGAGGCTGCTCCCTTCCAGGGCAGCTGCAGTGACCCCTCCAGCCACGCCCCACCTGCCTGCTGTGACCACCCAAACTAGGAGGACTGACGTGGCCAGTCAGTTCACCTCTGAGCACTCCCGCATCCACAGGAGCTGTGGGGGACCCCTCATATCCAAACCACAACACCCACACCATGTCACCCTCATCGGACACCCACCAGCAGCAACGGAAGTGCTGACCCCTTTCCAGTCTAGCTCCACTCTGCTTGGCTCCCAGGGCATCCCATAAGCGGGTCCTCACACAGGGCTAAGCCCCACCTCCTCTGCGGTCCTCACCCTGGGGCTCGCCTGGCCCCTCCCCGGGTGCTTGGGTGCAAGGCTGTGCCCCACTTGTGCACACACCACAGAAACATCTTCCCTTAGCCACTCGGCCCTCTGGGACTCCTCTCACAGAGCCAGCCCAGGCACGGGCTGCCCCCACACCCACCTCACTAACGCAGTGGCTCTCCTCACGAAGGCCCTGGGCCAGGCTGGATCCTCTGTCTCACACTTTGTAATCCCAGGACCCTTCCCATAGGCACCCAGAGCTAACTGTGCTCAGGGTCTCTGCCACCTCCCAGCACCTGTGTGTCTTAGCGATGGCACGTCACCAGCATCTCCACAGCCCCATTCCCCATGGCTGCACTGACCCAGCCTTGCCGCAGCAGCCGAGTGACCCACGTGTGGGGTCCATGGCACTTGTCCTGCAGGTGGACAAGCACTCCTGCTTGCCTTTCCCCCAAGTGCTACATGAACTGCGATCCCGGGAAGGGCTGCAGGGGCCAGCCCAGCAGGCCCTGGGAAGGGGTCTATACTCTCAAGGACCTCAGCCAGCACCAGGCCCACATTCCATTCTATTCCATTCCCCGACAGCCCTGGCCAGTGCTCCATGCAGGCCTGACCTGGACACTGGCATGGGCAGTTTTGGGTGGGGAGGGCAGGATGAGGGCCTTGGCTCCAACAGCAGGTGGGACTCTGCTGTCCCAGGAAGAGAGGCTGATTTCCACATCCCAGCCCTGAGCAATTCTGTGGGGCAGCAGCCACAGGGGCCTCAGAGCCCCAGACAAGGACACAGACCCTGCCTCCAACCAACCAGAAAGGGACACCAGTGGCCTCTTTCCCTGTCCTGCACTAGCTCCAGTCACAGGTTCGGCCATTGGATGGGCAGCAACTGGGGGAATAAGGCCCCAGAGTGACTGGGGAGCAAGAAGGGAGCCTAGGGAACGCGGGGGTGCAGAAGCCCAGGCGGCACACAGAGGAGATCGGACGCCTTGACAACCTGGGCAGGCAGGCAGGACACAGGCCCACAGCCAGGGCCCTTTCTGACAAAGGAGCCCAGTCAACAGAGGAGCCCTCTCCACAAAGGACGCTGGATGCGGGCTCATCTACATGAGGAGTAAGCCACAACCTGACCCTCACACCTGCTGTAAATGCCAACTGAAGATGGCCACAGGTGCAGACGTAGCTGGTGAAAACTTTAGAAGGGCCCGCTGGAGGACAACCTGGTCACTGGACTAGGCAGTTCCCAGACATGCTGCCAGGAGACAAGCTTCTGCTGGCCAGGAGGAAACCTTTGCTCTGAACCCTTGGCTCTGGAGGCTGGGGGGGTCACAGGGAAACATCGTGAGACTCTGTCTCAAAATAGAAATTAAAAAGGGCTGGGAGGTAGCTCAGGGGAAGAATGCCCCTGGATTCAATCCCCACTGCCAAACCAAAGCAAACCAAACCAAACCCCTTTCTCTGTAGAAAACACAGAATGACAGGATGCATTTAAAAAAAAAAAACAGAAGCTATCTGAAACCACACAGCTGACAAAGTACTTTTACCCAAAATATAGAAAGAATGGCCCAAATCAGTAGTAATTAAGCACACAATCAACCATCACCTTAACATCAAACGCAGACTTCACCATGACCCGTGAGCTCATGGACCTGCTCGCATTTGTGCTGTGCCCACATTTGGGGCAAGGGGCAGGGGAGGGTCACTCGCTGTGGGGGTCAACGACAATGCTGCCCTGAAGCCAGCAGGCAGCATCACACAAAGTAGGGCACACACTTGCCACAGGACCCGGCAGGCCACCTCCAAGGGCTTGGGCAGAGTAGACGCGGGTCCACATGTGGTCACTGGTCACCAGGCACTGCGTGGCTGGCTGCAATGTGCCAGCAACACTGTGGACAAAAGCAGATATGGCGAGCTCTGCCCTCAGCTCAGCCTGACAGCTGCTGCTGGAAGGGACGCATCCTTTCTCACAGGGACCTACAGGCGGGCGCTGGACAGCTCTCGGCATGTCACCAAGCCCCAGGAGCAACGTGGACTCCCTCCAGTGGGAAGGGACACGCAAGCTGGGGCATCCCGGTGGCGGAGGGCAAGGCGAGGAGGTGGCAGGGTCCAGGCACAGCCGCCCAAAATGTCTCAGACACAGTCTGCATGAGCCTCCGGAGGACAACACTGTGGGCACCGGGGCTGGGGACCTTGGTGAACTGTCTGCACCCACGGGAGCCAGGGCATGTGACCAAGCAGCGAGTCCTAACCCTGTTGGGCAGCGAGCCCGGATTCCGCCCGTCAGCCCCTGCCCACTTAGGCTTCCTGCAGAGAGGCCCAGAATGCTCCCTCTCTGGACCCACAGACCCCACAGGTGAGTGGGGCCTGTCTGCTTGTGCAGCTGTCCCCTCTCATTTCAGGGAGACTGGGGATCACGGAGAAGCACCAGCACATGCTGGGACACCTGCCAGGTGGGTCTCGGGAGGGTGCGAGGAAGGCTGAGTGCCCCACACACAGAACCAGGCCTGGGCTGCCAGGGGAAGACACACAGCTGCAGCCCCCACAGCACAAGGCAAGGTGGACACAGCCTGAATGGTGAGCAGAGCAGAGGAGGCACAGAGGCCGAAGGGCGCTAGGCCAGAGAGAGACGTGGGTCCTGCTGGCCCCAGCCCCAAGGCGCTGCCCCTCTACGCACCTGCCTTTTTTGGGTTGGGACGGGAAACAAGCAGCCCCGTGTGATGTGGCCAGGAGGGCAGAGCCTGAAAGGAGGAACCAGCCTGCAGAGTCCCCACTGACTTTATTTCACTGGAAGTCTCAGGGGAAGATGGCCCTCAGCAGGGTGCGGACAGGACCAGGTGTGCAGAGTCTCCCCTCACCCACAAGGCAGGAAGCAAAGCAAGTGGGCCGCAGCTGGCGCCCGACACTCCCAGCCACCACAGCCACCCTCTGGAGGAGGACAGGTGCTGCTGGCAGAAGCTCTCCGCACTCCAGAAGGGCTCCTGTGAGAAGTCAAGGTTGGGCTCCCAGGGCGAGAGCCACCTGGAAAGGACTCACTCCAACAGCGGCCAGAGTCGGAGACTGTGAGAGGAAGGACAGAGAGGGCCGGGCGCTAGAGCAGTATGTGGTATTTCAGCGCCCTGGGGACCCTGTTGATGACCAGCCTGCCATCGTAGCTCAGGGAGGCAAACAGCCATGGGTCAGCTGAGGACCAGTCCACAGCGTACACACTGTCCTCATGCTCCTCGTACGTGGCGATGACGTTGTCCTGCAGGGGCTCCTTGCTTCTGCAACCCAACAGAGAAGAGCTGTGAGCCAGGCCCAAGGGCAGCAGAGAACAGGAGGGATCCCACAGGGAGCTGGTCTCTCATCCGAACCACAGGAAGCCCACAGGCCTGGCTGAGCTCAGTGTGTGGTCCCTCACTGGTTGTGGGGAGAGGACGTCAGTGACCTGTGGACATCAAGGACACCTGCAGCACAGCAGGCCCCTAGCCCTCAGTGCTGTGGGT